ATAAAAAGATGAAAATGTCCCTCATTTGACGGAATTTTTTTAACAACTATTCGATGCAGAGACTAAATTCGCACGTTTTTACAAACCAAAATTGTCATTTTGTAATTTTAAAACTATAAATAAAAGAAAGTGTTATATTTTGTAATCTTATGGTTACGAACACATTCTTATGAACACCTATAAGAACATTCTTATTAATACCTTATTCTTATGAACACTTATGAACATCATTAAATACCATAAAAGTAACTTTCACATAAAAAAACTGTAACATCTTATTAAATACTATAAAAATAACTTACACATAAAAATCACTTATTTGTCCTTCATCATTAAACCACACATTCGAAGTAACCTCTACTAAAGAATGAATCTTATTGGTCCAATAAGTTCACAAAATTAACACCATATATATATATTCACACATACAAGGCCAACAACTTTACGCAAGATATGATATGTTGGCCTCCAAATACCAACCGTTTCCTATTGCTTGTTGTAATTATCTTGACTACTCAAATGATTCGATGAACCTAACTAACGACATGGTGAAACGTCACAAAAGTCGTCCAATATTTATCAGTGCACTTAATAATCACCTTATCATTTGTCAAAATCAAATACCTTAAAAAAATATAACGTACCATCATATATGTATTATCAGTGCTTGTTCGTTTCTTTTTATTTAATTGCTTTAAATTTTAATTAAAGAGATGGTGAAACGTCACAAAAACCACCCAATATCTGTCAATTTACTTGACTAATAATCACCTTATCAACCGTCAACCCAAATACTTGATCTATTATTTCAAACGTAACTCCAGCATACACACAAACACACACTCACATTCTATGAGTAAAGTTCCTGTTTGCTGCCCAAAATTGATTAAGAACTTGGGAACCGCGGATAATGCGTCATGTGCGCATGTCTCTCTTCATAATAAATATTCATCATGGATAACATATTCATGATGAATATAGAAGCATGATCCCTCATGAATCACACATTCATGATGAATAACAAGTTCATATCCTAATTAATTTGACATCTATAGCGTTGTGGGTGGTTCTCGAGTTCCAAATCAACTTTGTGTTCCTAATGGAACATGCCACCATATTCTACATTATTACTATCTTACTAACGAGTATCGAGGGATATTCCTTTTCCCGACTACATGGGCATTAGCTGGGACTGGAGACATAAATAGGGAGCAGGACCAAATAAATGTGGGGAGGGGGGGGGGGTCTGCATTCATCATCTATTACCGCCATGTTTTCATCTCTAAACACAATAATACAAAGTCATTATAATACTGATTCTGATACGTTTTTTTTTAAATATAAAATATTAAAACAACAAGTTGAATCTTACACAAAGTATTTGACTTTGACTTACTTTCATCTCTTTAATAAAAAAGTGCTTATTCAATAAGACAAATTATGTTTTTTTTTTTCTAATTTACCATGAATAATTAAGAACAAGTGGGGAAAATGGGTCAAATAGATCCAAATTCAAAAATCCCACATAATTTTCAAGTCAAAATTGACCCCAAAAAAATAATACTCGAAAACATAAAAAGGACACATAAAGGTATTTGATTTGAGGAAGGAACCAAAATAAAAATATTATATTAATCATAAGATGGTGTTTGATTGGTTTGAGCTTGATTCCAAAGGTCAAAAGTATCAGGAGGTATCAAGTTCAAATCTAAGGAGAAATAAAAATCCATTTGTGGCCACGGAGGTTCAAATGCAGTGACTCCGGGCTAATTGCAAAGCAGGTGGTCGTCATGGAATTAGTCGACTCGCATAACGAGTTGGATATCCAGGTTAAAAAATATTAAATTATTTTACTTTTCCTGAAAATAAAATTTTGGTCAAATATAATTCGGGTTTGAAGCAACAACAATACTTCCTTTGAGTTGAGTCCAAGCTAATTTCTTCACTTTGTTTTTTTCCTATAATTAATTTAATAATTATTTAATAAATTTCATTTTGTTCTTAATAAATATAATATATAATTTAAGGGGTCGTTTACTAAACACTTATCCTGTAAGTGTTGATCGGGTAACTTTCCTCACCTGATGCACATGGCAAAGGCTGAAATTTTTACCCGGTAAGAGCGATAATAATGATAGAGAGTCTTACCCGGTAAGTGATGCTGAGAACCCCTACCCGGATAAATTGTTGCATATCATACCATTTAAATATACTAGAATCTTATCTGGTAAAATAGATTATAGTGTTGACTCCTACAATAAGCGCTTACCGGGTAAGTATTTGGGTAAACGGCCCTTAACTGTATTTCAATTCATTTTTATATGTATTTTTTTTGAAGTATATAATATTTATATACGGTAAATAGAACAAATAAACTTACACACTATTCTCATCTTTGGTGAGGTTTGAATACTTGATCTCCTAAAAAACCAATGACTCATGTACCGCTAGGCAAAAACCCTGATTAATTAATCTTTATATTTGTAGTTAATTTTTGGCTTCAATCTTCCATGTGAAAAATAACATTAGAATTGAATAAATATATTAAAATATTTAAGGGACAAAATATGACTGAATAATGGATTTTCAGTAGATGTTTTGTCTTATTCAATAAGCTACTTAATAATTTTCTGCAATCATTGCTTTTTATAATTATTTTTAAATAAAAAAAATATTAGATTAGTAATTTATATTCAAATTGTAAGTCAATGTTAATTTATAAATTATTAAATATTTATGAAAATTATAATATTTTTAGAATATTATTCAAAATAAAAAATTGTTATTTTTTATGACGAAATACATTAAAATGTAATAAGTTTGTTATTAGAACTACAAGTTTGGTCCCTATACTTTGTTGGAAATAAGAGTTTTTGTTTCTATAATTTTAAATTTATAAGATCGTCATCTTGATTTGCAAAAACATCTGAATTTGATTCATTTCTATAACAGTTGTTAGAAAAATTCGTTTAATGGGGACATTTTCGTCATTTTATTAATCTTTTCGTCTTTTTACTCGGTCAAAATCAATCTTATGATTGTGATTCACGAGGTTTTTGATTGTATAAAAGACAAAAAAATGATAAAAACCAAAAATACTCCAGATTTAACAAACAAAAAAAAAATTAACGATTGTTAGAAAGAAGGATTAAATCCGTAATTTTTTTCAAACCATAATGGTCATTTTGTAATTTTGAAACTACAGAGACAAAAATTGTTACTTTTAACAAACCACAAGGACCAAATTTTGTAGTTTACTCTTAGGGCCTGTTTGTTTTTTTCAAAATTACCTCTTAATACATCAATCTGATTCGTTCATAGATTTGGATATTAAGAGCGCTTGTTTTATTTCTAAAATAAGAGCTTAAAAGCTCTAAATGTCTTCTAAAATTCAAGTGGTAAACGTATCCCTTAATGCCTCTTAATCCTAATTCGTCATCTACCAAATGATTCTTATTTTGGGGGCTGAAAGAGATTTGCTAGTAAAAACTATTTATCTTTTATATTTTTGTAAAAAAAACTATTTATCTTTTATATTTTTGCAGTAGTTTGACCGATTCAGATTTCAGATGTAAAAACAAACAATTTTACTGATCCAGATTTCATACTTCAGAACCACCTCTTATAAATCACAAGTGAAATCAGATTTCAGACTTCAACACCTCTTACAAAACAAACGCCACCTTAATGTGATTAAAAGGTAGAAGATCTACGAGTTATCAGTAAAATAAATACAATACAACAAAGATATTATTTAATTAAGAAAAAATTATATAGAATAATTTAAAATAAATATAATTTTATTGTACTTTAAATTATATTTAGATAAATTAAAAAAATAATTAAAATAACCATTTTTACGATCGGTTTCACCTGTTAGCCATTTCTCTCACAAAATAACGAAAATAGCCATAACTCCGTAATTGGCAGGTCTACAATTCATGAAGATGTCAAAATATATAAAAAAAAGTTTTTGAATCAGGTCTACAATTTCAAAGACCAAATATGTAAATTAATTATAAGTCCAATTGCCAACGTGTTCTTCCAAATTTACATATTTGGTCTCCGTAATTACGGAATTGGTTCATAAACTTGTTTTGTTACATTTTAATCCATCCGCAAATTGCAAACTTGTCAATTACGGATCTATAACTATTTTCATTAGTTTGAAAAAGGGAAAATTGCACCAAAATGGAACCAACTTTCACCTGATTCCTATTTTGGGGAACCAACTTTCAAAATTGTCATTTAGGGGTCTCTATCAAACTTTTTGTTTATTTAAGGGTCTGGTTGACCTGTTAATGCTGACATCATCTAGATCTTTTGCCAACTAAGATATTACACGTCATATTAATTTTTTATTTTAAAACCAATATTCCACGTCATATTTAAAATTGCAAAATAATTATAGAAAATAACTAAAATTCGTTTTTTTCTAAAAATTATTGTAATAAAATCTATTTTTCATTCTAAATCTAGTTTTTTTAATAAAAAAATACAGATAAATGTCAGCATTAACAGGTCAACAGATCAACCAGACCCTTAAATAAACAAAAAGTTTGATAAAGATCTCTAAATGACAATTTTAAAAGTTGATTCCTCAAAATAAAAATCAAATAAAAGTTAATTCCATTTTGATGTAATTTTTTTTTTTGTAAAAATAAAACGGTGAAATATTTCAATTAATTTTCAATTAAGAATCTGAAATTTATTGGGTGTATTAAAAGTTTGACTTTGGTATATGACGGAATCATACATAACTCAATTATGCAGAATGAATATAAACAACAGTAGAATAATTCTTCTGTACCGACGACACACCATTCTATACGCCACGTGGCAACCCCCAACAATACTTACCAATTCTGGCCCCACACCCCTCCATTAAAGCCACCGTTTCTCTCTCTCTCTCTCTCTCTCTCTCTCTCCTTCCTCCCTTGTGCTTGTCGATATATTTTTTTCTTTCCTAATTTATTTTTAATTTTATTCTTCCAATCTGTTTAGATTCTCATCTCCCAATTGCTGTGTATGCCGTTCGATTGATTTCACGAAGGTATGTTTGAATTGATTCAAAGCAAATTCATTGATTGCTACTGTTTCTATATGAATTCAGCTTACTTGATTTTTTGATTGTGATGCAGTTTTTTTTTGTGTGTGGTGTGATTTCGTTACAAAGAGGGAGTCTTCTGAGATTTTTTGTGAATTTTCTTGTTAATTGCAAGGCGAGTCGATGTCTGGACCACTCGATCGATTTGCGAGGCCTTGTAAGTCTTTTACTTTTCTGATTTTTTATCTGTTGTTACGATGCAATTTTGTTTTGATACACAAGACAGAATTAGGGTTTCTTGTTATAACTTCTGTTATAATACTACTACCGGAATTACTGTATAACTATGAGGGTTTTTCTGTAATTAGGTCTTAACTTTTGTCGGTACTACCGGAATTACCGTGTAACTATGTGTTATGCCCATGTCAATATGTCATTGATTAATCATGTGATAATTGGCCCCAAGGGAAGGGGGCATCGGATGCCGTTTTCTGTATTGTATATTATCTTCTTGAAATTCGATGCGTAAAAGTAGCTGTACATGAATGTTTCTAACTAGGGTTTTTATTTCTTGATTGCCATCTTTGCTTCTGTCCTTCTTGGGGGATTTTAACAGTAGCTTTTGTTTTTGTTCATGGTTTTGTTAAATATCTAAACCCAATGAAGATGATCACTGATCAGGATAGTTGTATCAATGCTTGTTATTGATTCAATCATTCGATTGTATACACATGTTTTCCTGTTTTATGACTTAATTGATTATTTCTTTCAACAAATACTGCTGCTGGATGGAAACGCCCCTTATCCTCTTTATTGGAACCAGTAGTCTTATTGTTAACCACAAATTCCCAAGTCGAAGCTTTGTTGGATGCTTTGCATATGTGATATCTTGTTGATTCCAAAAGGGATTGCACTTGATGTATATCAGATTTTTGATCATGTACTTCTTGACAGCCGTTGCTTGTCAATTTCATATAAGTGGATGAATTTTCAGGTCTTGTATTGACCCAATCGGTTGATTCTATGCTATTCTGCATCTGATTTCTGCTATCTGGGTTATGTAAGCGAATATCAAATAATATCTGTAAAATTAATTGCTTTCGTTGTAGGGAATATGTTCTTATGTATTTACTTTTTCATAGGCTTTGAGGGGTCATCAGGCAATGATGAGAGATCAGAGAGAAGAGAAAGAAAGTCTGATTTTGAGAACTCAGAGGATGAAAGGAGGACGAGAATCGGTTCACTGAAAAAGAAAGCACTAAATGCATCTACCAAGTTCAAGCATTCTCTTAAGAAAAAGAGAAAACCTCCTGGACGAGTCAGCTCTGTCTCAATTGAGGATATTAGAGATGCTAAGGAGCTACAGGCCGTTGATGCATTTCGACAAGTACTTGTCTTGGATGAATTGCTGCCAGACAAACTTGATGATTATCATATGATGTTGAGGTACTATAGCTCTTGCATTTCTGTTGTAGTGTCATTTTTCATAAATGAACCTGGCTAAGAGCTGCAAACAACCTTTTGATGACAGAGAGTGTATGCTTAAGTTGCACATCTTAGGCTGACATCATAGTTCTCCCTCTCCGTGCACGTGTTCAGTTCTCCATTGTGACCAGTACCAATTGGAACACATTGTGTCACTGATATTTTGAGTTTCTGATTAGGAAATAACAATTGGCCTTCATCCTGGAAGGAAGTGAAACAGATTTCAAGTACAGACCTATTAGGCACTGATAATTGAGTTGGAGAGTTGTATCTGCCTTTGGTGTGAATTGGGTGTGGGTATGGACAAGTATGCACCATATCTGCAACCATTTGTTAAATTTGAGAGGGAAAAAACCTTATACAACTTAGTGGTATTAGGTATGCCTTCAATTCAACCCTTGGGCATTTCAAGATGGATTAATTTGTTTTTAAAAAGATTTGGCTCATTTTCATGTTTTTTAAATTCTGGTTTGAAGGATTACATATACCTTTAAGAAGATCAATTGTTCATGCACTGTCCCCCAAATAATTGGCTCTGGTTATGTTTTTATGTCTATCTGCACCTCTCAATTTTCTTGTTTCTTTGTTGGATCTGCTCTGAATTTCAAGCTTCTTGTTCTATATGTTTATGACTATTGACTTTAAATGCTCCAATTATGTTTCTTTAAATATTTTGTCTATATATAACTGGGACTTTAGTAGTTCCAGGAATACCAAATCCAGGCACTCAATTCACCTAACCTTGACCTTTTGGGAGACTGGGCTCTACCAGTACCGTCGGGCTAATGGCCCATTCCCTTGCATCCTAGGTAGTGAATGAAGCTTGATATCTCAATCAGTTAAACCTTTTTCTTGATCCTGATGTTCTACAAACTTGCAGTGTGGAAAAGGAAATACAAGCTCATATAATAATATCTTCTTCTAAACCAAAATTATTTCTTGGGCATCCCGAACTTGATTTTCTTTTCAAAAGCTCACACTATCCTTATCTATCAATAAAATGATTCTTTTGATATTGAACTTACTGGTTTAGTTTATGCCAGCACTATCAAAGTTTTGCTAATGCTACTAATACAGTTTTCCCCATTGGAAATTAAAGACAGAATTTTGCTTTTCTTTTTGTCCAATGCAAATGAGGTGTGCAGTTTTACTTTGTACATCAATTAACAGTTTCTTGTAGCTTTTTACACAAATTTGATAGTCATCTGCAACGAATCATTATCAGCTTTGTTTGGTATTGTTGTCATGCACTAATATATCTCAATGCCAAATTGCATTGATCGACAACCAAAAGCCGCATGTTGTTTTGCCAATCTATATGAGTTTACGATATGTTTTATTTGCTTTAGGTTTCTGAAAGCAAGAAAATTTGATGTTGAAAAGGCAAAGCAAATGTGGGCTGACATGATTCACTGGAGAAAGGAATTTGGTGCTGATACGATTATCGAGGTGATCAAATTTTGGAATATGTTTGTGACCTGACATTGAATCATGATATGCATTAATATGGTGTTGGCATCTCTGTCTCTCATCTAGCACCAAAACTGATGCTTCTTTTGTGAATCTTATCAGGACTTCGATTTTGAAGAGTTGAATGAAGTTTTGAAGTATTATCCTCATGGTAATCATGGAGTCGATAAAGATGGAAGACCCGTCTACATTGAAAGATTAGGGAAAGTTGATCCTAACAAACTCATGCAAGTTACTACCATGGACCGGTACATAAAGTATCATGTGAGGGAGTTTGAAAAAAGCTTTGCTTTTAAGTTTCCTGCCTGCTCAATTGCTGCAAAAAAGCACATAGACTCGAGCACAACCATTTTGGATGTTCAGGGCGTGGTATGTTTCCCCTTGTGCTATATTGGTATAGACACCGGTAGCCGGTTATATTGGAATGTCCCCTGTTCTAATCATTTGCACTATATTATTTTCCATTTTGGATATTTTAGGGGCTGAAGAACTTCACTAAGGGTGCTCGTGAACTCATCATGCGGCTCCAGAAAATCGATGGTGACAATTATCCTGAAGTAAGATCAGTTGCTTAACAAATGATGTACATCATGCTCTGTTTATGGTTGCCATTTATAACTAACTTATTGTTACTACATATTTGTTCAGACACTCCATCAAATGTATATCATCAATGCTGGTCCTGGTTTTAGATTGCTTTGGAGTACTGTCAAGTCATTTCTAGATCCCAAAACGACTTCAAAGATTCATGTATGCTTGAAGTTTTTAGTGTTATGTTTATGAGAATCACAACCTTACTGTATAAGCTTGTTGCGCGATATCATTTTTATTTATCGTTTTTCTTCTGTTTTGATATCTCTCAGGTTCTGGGAAACAAGTACCAGAATAAGTTGCTTGAGATAATTGATGCCAGGTAACCTGTCTTCTTCGATATGATGTTTGCCATTTACCATATTCCAGAGCTACTGTTATTATAACTTATAAGCAATTGAGGAAATGTTGACTAAATACTTGAAACGAAAAATGGCAAGCTGTGCAGTGAATTGCCGGAATTCCTAGGTGGCACCTGTACCTGTGCAGATCAAGGGGGTTGTCTTCTATCTAATAAAGGGCCATGGAATAATCCTGAAATCTTGAAGGTCACTTCTAATATTTTCTTATTTACTAGAGGTACTTCCTAGTTTTTGTCCTTTTTGTTTAACTGAATCAACCATTATGACACTTTTCTGCAGTTGGCTCTTAATAGCGAAGCACGACGTGCCAGACAGGTGGTTAAAGTTTTAAATAGCGAGGGAAAGGTTGTTGCATATGCTAAGCCTCAGCTTCCTGCGGTAGGAAGACTGTAACTCTTCGTCTTTTGCTTGTTGTCCCCGAACTGCTTGAAAAATTGCTTTCTCATTGTTTTGAGCAGCTAAGAAGCAGTGATACTTCTACTGCCGAGTCGGGGTCAGAAGCCGAAGATATTGCATCTCCGAAAGCAATGAGGAGTTATTCACATCTTAGATTAACTCCTGTTCGTGAAGAAGTGAGTATTGACCTTTTTTCCTCGTGTGATTTCTGTTTCTTCCTGTCAAAAATGCAACTCATATACATCCAGAAAAGAATGAGATAAGATCGTTCAATGACCATCTGTTGTGTTGCTATGTCAGAAGAAGGATAGCTATACTGATTCAGTATACTCTAAAGACGCCAGCGGTACAATATTAATGATTTTCTTTCAGTGAATTTCCATTTACTTGCCCCATCTTTTACAGTATCACCCTGCGTTTTGACTGTACAAGAATATGTGGAGCTCAGCATGTCCGCAAGTACAAGCAAACATTCTTTAGCCTGATCGAACGCAAAATGGAATTAAATCTCCCCAAATAAATCAAAATTTTACAGTATCGACCCTGTTGGGTTGGATTATCCTTTTAAAAATATTGCTTTTTGCATGCATAATCCTTTAATAGATGTTATGATATAACTCGTCTATATCTTGCTTTATTGTTTTCTGAATGCAGCTGACCTATGTGGTCTTGGTTTTAGTTGGTTTCCAATTTTTAAATATGATATTTCATATTCGTTCATATATTAATCTTGTAGCAACTATTTAAGTTATTTCATGTTGTTTATAGGCTAAAACGATCGGAGCTACAAGCTATGCTGGTCAGTTTTCTGGATACGATGAGTACGTTCCCATGGTTGATAAAGCTGTTGATTCTGGATGGAAGAAGCAACCTTCAGCTCCAAAGCCTTATGATCCCAGAGGTCTGGAATATGTGATCTAGCTTATAATGTTCACACTTTTACTGATGCAAGAGGTTAACCCGATTACAAATGTCGGTACAGGGACGCTTATCGAACCTGCTGCTCAAAAGGGACCTGAAAAACTTCATTCTCAGATATGGATGATGCTTGTGACCTTCTTTATGACCATTTTCACTCTCGTTAATTCAATGATGAGCCATGTAGCTAAAAAGCTTCCTGACACACCATCCGAGAATGCCCAAAACGCTCAGGATTTCTTCTTTGATGCATCAACTAAGGAGGAATTTCGCCCTCCATCACCAACTCCTTCATTTAAAGAGGCGGAACTTCTGTCTTCTGTTCTGAAAAGGCTAGGTGAACTTGAAGAGAAGGTCGATACACTCAAAGCAAAGCCAGCCAAGATGCCTTATGAGAAAGAGGAATTGCTAAATGCTGCTGTTTGCCGCGTTGATGCCTTAGAAGCAGAACTCATTGCTACCAAGAAGGTAAACATACACCCGAATCCCTTTCTTTTTTGGTAGACATGAACCGTAAAATTTGATTCACTTTATTCTATTTTTTCTTCTTATTGTTCATACGTAATGCAAGATAATTATCAACCATAATAGCCATGTATTAACTAGTCTAAGCTATAATACAATAGTAGTCCCTTTGACAAATGAAGATTTTAATGTTTGACTTGACATATTATTTTAACAAAATGTTTAAACCAAACTAGCTCAGTATATCCCACCCGAGGTGGGATCGAAGGGTAGGGTGTACACATCCTATATCTACCTCAAAGAATAGAGTAGTTGTTTTCTTGAAGACGTTGTGAGATATATAAAAGAGAGAAAAACAGATATGATGAATTTTTTAAAAACCATCATACTCGAAATATATGCAAGCCCAAGAAAAATACAACCAAGGTAAGGCCTATCGCCATCCCTAGTATGCTATCCTAGTCTACATCTCCAAGAGTTCCTACTAATATCCATGTTCTTGGAAATGCCTAAAGCTGCCATGTCCAACCTCAGTTGCTTGACCCACGTTCTCCTCGGCCTACCCCTCCTCCCCCAAACCGTCACACTTTCTATCCTCCTGACTCGAGCCACCATCTGTCTCCTATGAACATGACCAAACAACCACATTTCTCTTAAGAAAAATGTTTAATTGTTTGTAAAAGATAAAAAATACTTTCTACGAAGGCAGGTAAGTAAATCTCCAACTGTCACTAGAGGTTTAGCTGACTATTAGCTTCAGTAGTCTTCAGGTGCACATGGGATTAGTTCAGTCCAAGTGCGCGCAAGCTGGCCCGGACACCCACGATTATATATAGTCCCAAATTATGTTATAAACAAATTTATTATAATATTATCATAAAGATACTTAACTTTTACTTGGAATATTCTAAGAAAGCAAAATTTGCAATTTTCATGAGATTATGTTTACCGATTTGATAGAACCGTGCTACTTTTTTGTGTAGGCTTTGCATGAAGCTTTGATGAGGCAAGAGGAATTGCTTGCGTATATCGACAGTCAAGAGGAGAAAAAGTTCCGGGTGAGTTGATTATGACATGAATTTGTACGGAGCTTGTTATTTTTCCGAGTATAAGAGTGAAACATTTATTGACATAATTTATCGCTACATTTCTTTGCAGAAGAAGAAATCTTGCTGGTAAACTTTGTCAAATGTAAAAACGGTTATGCGGCTGTTTCCGTTCTCGTGTTTCTTTACTGTATACGAACGTGATAACATTCCCGTGGAATTCACGTTGCTCCAACTCTCCCTACTTTGAGATGGTTTTGATACAATGTTAAAACTTTACATGATACTTACTACCATTACTTCGTATATACGCCTACGGTCTTAACATTAATATATACAGAGTTAACATAGAGTCGTTGGCCAGCGATATGTCGGTTTACCTGTAGAATCCAGCCTCCAAGGAGGTTAAGAATTCAAACTTCTTACTTCACCAAAAATGAGGTGTCTTTATGAGTATTTATTGTATAGGGTTGGGTTTCGATGAGAAGGGTAGTTATAGTGAGAAGCGTAAGAAGAAATCTCCACCCTTAGATCAATCCTAATTGAATTTTAACACTAACGAGGTGTATCATCAATTCTTTTCTAAAGTACAATTCATGGGTGGGTATGAGATTAAATGTGATCAAGGGTTTAGATCTTTTCTTACGTTTTTCACCATAACTTCACTTTTCACACAATCCTTTATCTTGTCGTATATAAATATTATATACTTCAAATAAACATTTTGATCCCATAAAACACATGTATATCTCGGTTTTTGTGAAAGGTGTATTAGTTTTCTCTTTGCCGGTTTGATTTAAATTTGAAAAAGAATAATTGAATCTGGACTTACAGTTATGGACGTAATAGTCATTTTTATTCGATCAGCTTAATAGAAACGTTTAATAAATAATAGTTTCCGAGACCCCTTATCTTGATCAACATTTACCTATAAATTTTGGTATACAACCCCTTAAATTTAAGAAGAAAGGATGGTATATTGGTGCTATTTGAAGTCAGAAGTTGTGCAAGAAGAGATACTAATGATCAATGTTCCATGCCATGAAAGATTAGTAGGAAACTTAATGAAAATATTATAGAAATGACATGAAAGATTTTAGAACAAGAAATCTGTTTAAAATGGAATGTAATCATATATGATATTGAAACTTCTTGTCTTCTTACATAATGTTTAACTTCTCGTATGATTCTTCCTATATATATATATAATGTATGATGAGTGAGGTAATTCCAAATTAATGCATGAATGAGTGTTGGAATTGAAATTTCAGTGCCTTATGATGGTTATATGGTTGTTAGGATCGGACCCAAATAAAAAGAATCAATAAGAAAAAGTTCAGAAATGATAAAAGGTCGAGTTTTGTTTGAAGGACAACGAAGGATTGCGTACAGTTGCCAAGCTTAAATCATGATGCAACTTGCATATATGATTAGGTTGTTTTGACCAATCAAAGTCAGAAAAGTCCAACGAGTTAAGTAACATGCACAGTAGTATGCAAGTTAAGGCAGCAACCTTAGGTCGCATACCCAGTCGCTCTGATCAGTTTTATTTTCATTGGTCCAATTCCTTAGTATAGTAATATGTAACATTGTTCGGATAAGTGCTTAGATGAGTGTATGGCTAGTATAGATAGCATTACTGAATACAGCAAGCTCAACTGGTTTTACACGGACCAGATGTAAATTTCATGTGATTTGGAACTTAGATAGATACAGTACGTGATCCAATACCTTCACATATGTATTTTCAGCTATATTTCAGATGTGACACAATATTCTTACTTTTTAATAACTGAGATAAAATATTTGGATAAATAATAAAATTAAGAAAAGCAAAATGAAGATTATTTATTAATGAAAATGCAAAAAACAAGGCCAGATTTCATCAAATAAAAAATGTATGATAAATAGTAATAATAATTTAAATGAGTTTTTTGTTTTTATTATTTCCAATTACAAACAGGGGCAATATTTGGGTTTAAAAAACAAAGAACTTCTTCTTCTTCCTCCTCTTCTGTTTCTCCATGTAGGCCACCAGCTCTTGTTGTTGACTTCGGGACTCTTCAAGAGCCTGCATATCAAACAATCCACACTCTTTTAACAAGATAAGGATGGTTCCAATATATATCAAGCAAAAATCGTCCAAGTCTAGCCGATGTAGGATTCTAAAGCGTCACTTCTGGTGGAGGTTAAACGGGCAAAAATTATCCCAAAGTGTCGAGAGGGGTTAGACGGGCATTGGACTAGACAAATACAGATTGCCTAGGGTGTCAAGAGGGGTTAGATGGATGATGGGGCTAGATGAGTACAGATTGTCCAGAGTGTGAAACATGGAGAATGTGGGTTTATGGTGTAAGGGGGCAGTTGCCCCCAACAAACTCCATGTATTCTTTTTTAATATAAGTGGTGGAACAAACAATTTTAACTAAAATCTTTACAATATCCCATCAAATAAACTCTAATGTTCCTAACTTTTTACCATTAGACCTTAGCTCTTATATTTATGTGGAATGTAAGAATTTAGCTCTGATACGATGTGGGATGGAAGGAAGCCCATTTGATTACTCTGATCAATAGAGGCCTTGAAAGAGAGAACGGAAGTTCCGACATATATGGAATCGAAATGGTCAAAATCTAACCGATATGGGACCCTTAACACGTTGCTACTTTCGGTTTACATTACTTGTTAGTTAGATGAAAAAGGGAGAATACCTTCTTGGCAGCAGCGAGCTCTGATTCCAAAGCATCGACACGAGTCAAAGCGTTATTGAGCATCTCTTCTGTTTCTGGTGGCAGCTCAGCCGGTTTGTTGGTGAGAATAATGACCTTCTCCTCCAGGTCCGATAAACGCTTCATTAAGGTGAGGTATTCGGCGGTGGAGATGGTGGTTGTTTCCAACTCTTTCTTCTTATAATCGTCTTCTAAAAGCCCGACAGATGAAAGAGTCACATTTGTAAGCTTTCTGGGCATGTTACTGGTCATACGCATGATAGTCACAATTCCCATAATCAACGCCATTACACCCGCGACCACCTGGTTCGCTAGTTTAGTAGTACAACTAAGCTTGCAATCATCATCAACACCTACAAAACCAAACTCTAAGTATGCATCATTTAGATGCCAACTTTTTAATTTATACCATAAGCCAATGTGCAAGAACAACTATTCATATGAATTATTCATGATGAATATACCTAAATATTCATTAACGTTATTCAACATGAATATCATGGATATTCATCATGAATAATTCATGAGTAGTTGGTTCTCACGTTCCCAAATAAACATACCCTGTTGTAATTAACTCTTTCAAATATAGCAAAATGACACTCTTGGTTATTTTTAACTGTGTACCTATAGAAAGGGCAAGCTTCTGCTGAGGTTTACATGAAGTTGCATCAACAGCCTTGTCAACGATGGGCAAGTAGTCTTTGGTCTCATTTGCACTCAGGATGTTTTTGTTTATAGAATCCTACAAATCAATTTAAAGCAAACTTTAACCAACAATTGCAAGGATTTTTTTGAATTTGTGTCGCATTAAAAAGTTGTTTTATGCATATTTCCCTCTAGATTCAAGCACAAGTTGGGGGTCTTCACGGAAACCACCGCCCTACCCTTTGGGGTAGAGGCCAGGTTTGCGTACATCTTACCCTCCAAACCCTACCTCCGGGTAGGACATACTGGGCTCATTTGGTTTGGTTTAGTTTCCTCTAGATTCAAGCACTTCTTTAAAAGAACACGAATGCAATATGAACGAAGGAGGAAACTTACCTCTTCACAAACAGAAGGCAGGTATGCAGGGTTGTTGTGGTCCCTCTGCATTTTGGCAGATTCAACATCCAATTTGAAAGAAGCTTGGTTAGTAACAGTCTATCAAAGGAAAGAAGAGTCAGCATATGCCCACATTTACGGCTTTCCTCTTTTTTCTGAAGATATTCGCTACATTTATAGTAACAAGGGAAACAATAAAAGGAACGAAAAAAGAAAAGATTTCAGAAAATTACAGAATATGCATGTTGCTGAGGGAGAATACCTTGTTAGCACACTCATCCTCAGAAATGATCTTCTCTTCAGGAATTTCAAGCTCTGAACATTTGTGTTCACCATTACAGACCATCTACCACATGAATCGACTTTAAAGCTTATGGATAAATATAGGATGAAAGAGGAACATAATCTCATTGTAATTTGAATACAACCTTCATGATATCTGGATCTTGCCATGGACCTTTATCAGAGCGCATGCAACCACCTTTGTCTGCGCAGGTGCAGGTACCACCCAAGAACTCCGGAAGTTCACTGCCACCATAGAAAGAAATAACTTGTGGTCAGCTCAACTAGCAAATATCCCCATAGATCGTGAGTTTGAGTCTCTTCAAGGCCACTAGGGATTTTCTTGACCGTTGTCTTCAAGCTCAAGGGATTAGTCAAGGTGTGTGCAAGTTGATAGTTCATTGCCATCATAGAAGGAAAGAACTTGAGGGTTGGCTCAGCTGACAAATAAAGGCCGGGCCATGGGGCTCATCCCCATAGGTGGAGTTCGAGTCTCCTCAGGACCACTGAGGATTTTCATGACTGTTATCTTCAAGTCCCCATGGGATTAGTCGAGGTGTGCACAAGCTGGCCCAGAAACCCACGGTTATAGAAGGAAATGCATATAATTTAAAGTAAAGGTGAAGCTATTGACAAATAGAAGAAACAAAAACAGGCGAGCTAAGGTAATGGCAATCATGTCGGAGAAGTACCTGGCATCGATGATTTCCAGGAGTTTGCTCTGGTATTTGTTGCCCAAAACCTAGTCAACAATGACGTTTACTCGTCATGAATTCAAGAAATATCGAAATTTTCTTTGAGATCAAAGGATGGGTACAAGTTTACATGAATCTTAGCGGCAGTCCTTGGGTCAAGGAAAGATTTCACCGTGTTCCACAACAGCCTAAAGCCAGACCCAGCATTGATTATGTACATGCGACACAGAGTCTATAAGAAACACGAAAAATAAATAAATAGCAGAATATTTTTTTTATTTAAAGAAGCATATTAAGGAAATTTCTAGCATTAACTCAAGAGTATACCTCAGGATAGTTGTTACCATCAATGGACTGGAGAGTTTGGATAAGTTCCCTAGCAGCTTTGTTCATGCTTTTCAGCCCCTGATTCATTACCATCCAACTAATTTGACTAAGTTATCTAATACAAATAAGACTAAAACTGAATACAACCTCCTAATTTTGACAGTAGATTACGTTTTTTTTCCCATTTTGACCGAGGCCATGTTTGGCAGCCACTTGAAAAGGCCCTGGTTAGCCATAAGCTTGCTTTTTGAAAAACTACTTCAAGTAGCGTTTCAATAAGCTCAGGGAGTTTTTTTCCCCATTATACCCCTTATACTTTTCAAATTAAATTTTTCAACATGTCCTTTTACCTTACTTTACATTGTCATCTACTTTATCAGCTAGTTTTTACCAAACATTACTAGTTTATTAGCCAACATCTAGCTTATCAGCTAGTTTGAAAAACATAGCCTGGACAATTTTTCAAAGAACCGTTACAACTTCAGCATAAGTATACAATATTGGCATTTTGCATATTGAAGGGGTGTCTGGATTAAAGAGATGTAAGTTGTAGAGTTAACTAACTTACCACTCCTTGTACATCAAGAATGGTGGTGCTTTGATCAATGTGCTTTTTAGCAGCAATTGAGCAGGCTGGGAACTTATCTCTGAAGGTCCTTTCGAACTCCATTACATGGTACTTAACATAACGCTCGAGGGTTGTAGCTTGCAAGAGCTTGGTAGCATCAACCTTACCAAGTCTCTCAATATAGATAGGTCTTCCATCCTTATCAACCCCATGATGTCCATGAGGGTAGTATTCAATAACATTTTCTTTTTCTTCAAATTCGAAATCCTAAACAAAAAGGTATATGGAAATTAGGGAAAGTTCACAAAAATAGAATTCGACCATTTCGACATCTGGTGGTTGGATGACTTCCCAAAAGTACCTCCATAATGGTATCTGCACCAAAGTCCTTCCTCCATTGGAGCATATCAGCCCACATTTGTTTGGTCTTCTCAATATCAAATTTCCTGGCCTTCAAAAATCTGTAGTGTCATGCCGAAAGTTGAAGGATTAATTGTAACAACCCATCCCACATTGGATAGAAAATTATATTTGTGAGCTCCTAGTAACCTCAAACTTGTGGACTACCAACAAAACTTCCATCATGGTTTTAAGTTGATTTTGAAGTTATTAGGTAAGCCTGCTGCTTTGAGTTATGGGAATTATATTAATGTTGTAGGGTTGCCCATAGTGAATAAAACACATGTTAGATATTTATTTGCACTTCGCAATGCTAGGAAGAGAAAATGGTACACCAAATAAAATTGGGGGATTACAGAAATTTGATAACCTTAACATCATATGGTAATCATCATGCTTTGCAGGTAGTAGTTCTTCCAAGATTAAAGCTTGACGTAAAGCATCGACTGCCTTCAATTCCTCTGCATCATGCACATCTTCAACCACAACAGACATGACTCTACTGTTCCTTCGTCCCTTCTTGGTGAAGGAAGTTCTGAACCTCTTAGAGGCAGTAATTGCCCTTTGCTTAAAAGAGTGGCGCTTAGACTTCTTTTCATCCTCAGTGCTTTCTAGGTCGATTTTTTCCATACCTATTCATAAAACTTGGTTAGTTACGGTATTGATGTAAGGGTCATTTGGTTAAATGACCTGTCATTTTTTAATCCATGACCTTCTGACAGGTTTGAGAATGTCACTACTTAACAGAATAATGCCACTTCCATACACAAGAATGCCTAGAAACCTATCAGACCATCATAGATTTGAAAAACACTTGTCCGGAGGTCATTTAGCTAAATAACCCATGATGATTGATGTAATACATGTTGGCTAATGTGCAGGGTACCCAACAGAAACTTTAGTCAGTTGCTATATTGTCAACAATGAAGTGTCAAATGAACAAAATTCATCCTCATACATGAGAATTAAAGATTTTGCTCCAATCTACTATACAATTTTAGCTTATATGAATGAGATACATCCTTGTACATGAGACTTGTGAAATTCTTGATTCTATTTACTTAGCTTTAACAAAGTTAACAGCTGCATATGAATCATGACAAAATCTATATGTTGTGAACTAACGCTTATAAGTGCATCATATTAGAAGGATATTTGATTCTATAGTTGCACAATTGCCAAAACTGGTGTTTTCTTCTTCAATGGAGAAAAGAATTCTAAAAAGATGAAGTGTCCTTCAATGTCTTCTAATTTCTATTAAACATATCTTCTAATTGTTTTCCAATTGTTGTCATAATAAAATGATTATAATGAGTCCCGTTGTATGCCTCAAAGTCTATATCTTCATGTCCTAGTTTTTCAGCTGCATTTATATATAAACCAAACAAGTCCAGTATATCCCACCTGGAGGTGGGTGGGGTTTGGGAGGTAAGATGTACATAGACCTGGTCTGTACCCCAAAGGGTAGAGCTATCGTTTCCATGAAGATCCCAGGCTAGTGAAAAGTGTGTGAAAGGTAGAAATACATATATGCTAATTTTAAGAAATTTTTGGAAGAAAAAGGGATGACCCTGATAAGTCAAGGTCCTCAGTTTGCAAGGTTTGAACGCACTCATTCTCTTGTGTTGTTGCAAAGGAAGCCTGTGACTAACCTGGCAATCGGTTTCATTAATGCTCACTCATATATTGTGAAGGAACACCAGAAAACAAGGTAGAGCTAAGGTATCATCGATGGCAAATTATTGAACATTTTTGGGTACATGGCATTTGTGTAAAACTTTATAGCTTTTTCTCCTATGTTTGTTCCTTCTCCATGTTTCAATGGCTATAAAACAACAAAAGCCACATTCACAATGAGTTCTCATGCCCTTGCCCTTATATGAATGCAGAAACCAAACATAAATCAACTGAAAGGGTTACAACAGAGAGGTGAAAAGAAGAAACATTGAAGGAACGTACTTGATCGAATGTGGCGCTCAGGAGGTCCTTGCATATGGTCACTCATGGTTGCAGTTTCTAAGTTTGATTGCGGTGCCGAATTTAGAGGCATCGTCAAATGCCTACACCTTTTAGCAAATACATGTTAAAAGCATTAAGCATATACATAGGCATGGACCAAACCCTAAAAGAAACCTGGAAATTCATTACCAGAGCGTTTACATAGGCAATCTGCAAAAAAATGATCACAAATCCATGAACAAGTAGAATTTATACCCCATTAATATTCCAATCATCATACTCTATAATTGAACTCAAAACCATGATCAATCATACATTTCAAACATATAATACAAAATTCTCTCGTAATTGTTGGTGATTCTGCAAAAAAATTGGTCATTATGTTCATACCAAATCATATATTAATGACAATAATCAACCAAACATCAGGAGTTAGGGATTGCAATTACACAAACAGATGGTACGCCGTACGCATACCCTAAAAGAACATGAACACTTAAAAAAACCACAAAATCAAAGAGTTAAACGGGGCAAATCACAGAAATCATGGAGGAAGAAGAAGAAATTACCAGTTGCGAAAAAAATTAGCAGGACCTTTTGGACAGGAGAAGGGAGAAGATGTTTTAAAACTGCATCATCTCATCCGCCAACAAAAAAATCCCTCGATTTTTGAAAACCACCCATCAAATATTGAGAGGGATTATGCGTCTTTCTGGGGGAATTCTACTTTGATTTGACCAGGTCATCTTACATTTTCATTACCCTTCTCTCTCTATATATCTTCCTTCCACGCATATACATACACACACACACATACATATATATATATATATATATAGAGAGAGAGAGAGAGAGAGAGATGTGTGTTCATGGCAGCCACTATAGCAGTGGTGCTTCACCACGCAGGCAGCCAAAAGGGTTGAAATTGGAATCCTCCATATCTTAACGAACTTACCGACTTTATCTTCAACCTTGAAATCCTTTCTCACGTGTGTCAAAATTTCGATTACAAGTTTTTTTTTTATTAATTAACCTGATATCCAACCTGTGAACCGACTAATCTCAAAACGAACACCTGCTTTGTAGATAGTCCGAAGTCACCGCATTTGAACCTCGTGACCACAAGAGGATTTTTATTCTTTCTTGGATTTGAACTCGGGACCTCCAGATACTTTTGACCTTAAAGTCAAGTTCAAACCAATCAGACACCACTCTTGTTGTTGTTGTTTCGGTTACAAGTTGTAACCTCTGTTGGATGACAATTTCGTGTCAAACGAATCCAACCAACGTGAATATCAATTACATTGTTTTTAATTTTGATCGATTAGTATTATATAAACTTTTGGTATGATATTAGAAGTTGTGTATCGGGATATTATTATGATATCAATTTATTTAATTATTTATTAGTTTTTAAACTTTTAATGTATTAAATATTTAAATCTGTAATTTTAATTGCTTTATTTTACTATTTAAATGTTTATAAATTTTATTTTTACAATTAAAATCTCTTTAACATCACATATAATACCTAAAAATTCAAATAATTACTCAAAATTTCATTATAATAGCAAGCTTTCATATATGTAACTTAATGTTGGTACACAACTGATATCAACAAAAAGAAGCTGATATCAAATACAGTTGGTTGGTATACAGTATTATATTTTGCATACCGATTATAATTAGTTGGTACGCAGTATTGGAGGAAAAAAACTTGGTACCATACCAAGTCACCCTTAAACCTACGTATGCGTGGAGGTATAGATTGTTCCAAAGTGTTGAGAGGGGGTAAACGAGTACAAAGTAGTGTTGAGTCCTTGTAATCATATATGTGACTCTGATACCATGTGAAAATACTTGGAACCTCGGGTTTACTCTCCAAAAGAGCACTTGGGGAGAAAAATGAAGGTTCCAACATATATAAATAAGATATGATCCAAGTCTAACCAATGTGGGACTCCAACAATATAAATAAAAATGGCAAAGGTGTACATTTAGGTCCTGTAACTTTCACAGTCTTCACAAAATATATTGTGAAGAGGGGGTCATTTAAACTCATTCTATGATAATCAGAAGGTTATTACAAGGTTATTATGATATTTTGTCATACTCCTTTTGCTAAATCTTACCTTCCAATTTCAACAAGTAAAAATATATTTTTATTTCACATCATATATATATATATATATAGAGAGAGAGAGAGAGAGAGGGGTTGATTATTATACAACTCTTGACATTTATGCAACCAATTCAACTCAATCTTAACTGTTCATTTCATTTGATTAATATGTGATTTCATAGAAGTTTTGATTGTTTTCTAATATAAAGTATTGATCATAATTAATAAACCATATTCATCTTCCATAAATATTCAAATCATAATAAATGAAMTCYCATTATTTCCATAAATATCTCAATTTATTGAGTTGCATTGGTTGTACAAATGCGATAGGTTGTATTTGAAACAAACTATATATATACTTGAGATCATATGAGATCAAGGGTTTTTCGTGAGACCCGTAAGACTAATTCTCAACCCTTGAATTAGATCTACAATCTAACAATTTAAACATTCATAAACGCTACGAGACTTCTCAATAATCACAAAATTGGCACCGTGCAACTTTAGATCATTAGCTTATAAAGTTGATCAACTTTATAAGCTAATGATCTAAAGTTGCACAGTGACAATTTTGTGATTATTGAGAAGTCTCGTGGAAAATTTATGATTATGAATGTTCAGATTATAGATCTAATCCAAGGGTTAAGAATTGGTCTTACGGGTCTCACGAAAAACTCTTGGTCTCCCATGATCCTAAGTCTATATATATATATATATATATATATAATTTTGTGATTATGAATGTTCAGATTGTAGATCTAATCCAAGGGTTGAGAATTGGTCTTTATGGGTCTCACGTGATCTCAAGTCTCTCTCTCTCTCTCTCTCTCTTTATATATATATATGTGTGTATATATACATATATATATACACACACACACACCCACATGTATATATATAATTACATAGACGACATACAACTTTTTTGTCTTATGTCACGCCTTAAAAAACGTCATGCCGTCACATGACATGTAAGGCTTGAGGTCACCATCACGCCATTTTAAATCTTGATAAAAGGTATCAAATATTTTATTATCATCAAAATTAAACATTATATTTTTATCAGATAAATTTCTTTTCAATGATAAAAAAAAAGTATTCCGACAATGTTTGAATATGTTGCAAAAGTGAAGCCTGTTTGGTTCGTTTTAAGAACTGAGAATAAATATAAGTTACACACAAAAGGATCATATTATCAACCTCTTAAAGAAATTGTGTGCAAAAGACCCAAAGTCATAACAAAAATGATTCACAAACACAGAAGGAAGAAAAGGCATTGGTAGCGTTCAATTACGGGGGACGACAAGCACAGGGTCAACGATCAGGGCCCGATTAACATAATCCTCACACATATCAATATCAAAACATTATTTTTTACATTTTCAATGTATAATTTGACCTGATTTCAATGTAAATACATTGAGTGTTAAATAAGATGTTAAATATCGTCAAAAAGATGAGAAAAGAAGTTAAGAGAATATTTCTACATGACTTGTTGAAAATTTTATTTGAATATATATATATATATATATAGGGGAGCGATCAAATGCAAACCACTCAATTTGTACAAACCGTGCAAACCGCATTCAACCAACCATAATTTCTCATTTTGTTAATTTTTTTGTAATTATGAGAGGTTGATTAATCATTTTTATTGTGGAGGGTGTTAATCATAGATATTATCATCTTCATTATTTTAATTTTAGAGAAATACATGAAACAGTTTCATTAATGTTAGATAAATATATGAAACAGTTTCATTAAGTATTATATGAAACAATTTCACAACCATATATGAAACAACTTCATCAAAAAAA